TTCATTTAAGAATTTTTAAAAAATTATTATTCAACAAAATTTATGTAATTATTATTTTATTATTATATATAAACTCGCATTTGGAAAATCCGAATCTTTAATTTTAATCATAACTCGGATTTCAGAAATTCGAGGAATATAGTTATGTCCACAAATATTCTGAAAATTTTAGATTTGTCCACGTTTATTTTAATTAATTTTTTTTGGGAAAAAACCCCTAGGAAATGAGTGTAGGGGTGCGAAAAATTATAAACATATAGTTTTCTATTAAAAATTTATGATATTGAGAAGCTCCGCTAGGGTTACACAATAAGCTTCCATGATCGAAAACAGAAGGAAAATTGGGGAATATTTGTGTACGTGTAGTATTATTAAGCTTAATCGTGTAATACAAGTATATATATACTAACTACCCTAACTAAACTAACTGCATAACCGACTTAATTAATTACGAGAAAGGTCAAATGTACAACTAAGTACCTATATTTACAGTCAAGTACAAATCAGTCCCTAAAGTATTTACAATAAACTACAAATCAGTCCCTTAATCAGAAAACTAATCTCCTAGATCATTTTCAGCTTCATTTCCAATAAATTACGAGAAGGATGCTTCATTTCCAGCTTTAATTCGTTGAGATTTTTCTACTAATTAGAAAAAATTGAATAAGTGCAACTGCACCCCTCCGTACCCCTAACTCCGTAACACTGGATGAATTAGTTGAAATGCGTACCCTTATTGTAGAAACTCTTTCCACGAAAAAGTATTTCAAATGCATTTTTATTGACGTCTTCAATATTCAAGCGTATATATTAATAATAAGGGTAAATTTACGGTCGATTATTAATTTCCATCACAATGTGTCACTCACATTTTGAAAACGAAAAAAAAAATTCCCATCTATAAAAGGGAGAGTTTTTTTTTTTTTACAAGAATGCTGACGTGGAGTCTCCAACTCGCGACTCACGAGTCCACTCAATTACTTGTTGACTAATTGGGTTCAGCCAGAATTGGGAATTTCCAGCTTTTGGAAGGGTAATGTAGTCATGGCGTACTCTCTATTGTACGCCGTCATCTTATTATCAATTTTGCCACATAATCTTTCCGCCAAAACCTGGAATTGAAATTATGGCACTGGGAGCCTTTTAACATTGGAAAAATGCCAATACCATCTCATTTTTTGACATCCAAATACCGGATTTGACATTGAGAGTTCAAATTCCAAATCCAAATTCTCAATGTCAAGCAAACGAAAAGACACGAGATCTTAACGGATGAAGCTGCTCTCCCTCCCCAGCCTTCTCTTTTACCTTCCATTGTCTTCTTTGTTTCTGTTTTCTTTGCCTCTCACATAATAATTTGTAGCTCGTATTGTTTTACCTTTTGCAATTTCATTTCAAGTGACTGAAAAATATACTCGTATTACCTTTTCCCAAAACAATAGCCTTGTTTTTCCGCAACATTTCTTAGTATTCTGGAACGGAGGAATTTATGAGAAATGATGGCAGGATTCCATAGTTTAAACAAAGAAAATGCAACATTTCGGTGGAGTGTTTTAATGGTGTTTAGGTGTGCTTTTTTATGTTTTTCAAAAATATTTCACTTGCGTGTTACAACAACACCCGCTGAAACCCTGCATTTATGTTCAACTATCGCGCTTAACGCGTGCAATAATGTATTCTCTCGGTCCAGAAAATAGTCCATATTAGGTTTCAAGATTTGTGTTAGTTTTTTTGAAATCGAAAAAAAAAAAAAAATTTGTGTTAGTTTTAGTACAAATTTGAAAACTCAATGTGGATTATTTTTTTGGGACGGAGGAAGTAATTGTTAGTGCTACAATTGATATGAGTGTACTCAACACAGTTCTCGTAATACATTGCCATATATAATGAATAATGACAAACAAATAGGCATACTGAATTCATGGCTTTTCTTCACGTATTTTTGAAAAGATACTCACCATTGATTACGCTAATATCTAATTTAGTTGGTAGCTCGTTAATTTGAGAAAAAGCCTATCGTTCTGATTTGGTCAAAATGCCCTCAAGCAATACTCACCATTGGTACGAATTCACTAAAAACTTTTGTTTATAAACAAAATAATCCTAAACTTCTTGCAATCATTAATTTTAATCATGAATGAATGGAATTTTGCAGGAGGAGGAGGGTTTGGCGTTCTAGGCCTTGAAGAGTTTAGGATTCTTGGAATACTGATTGAAGTGAAGAAGAGAAAGAAATCTTCTAGAATATTTTAAGTAGGGCAAATTATCCACTATACCCGGGGCACCGTGTACCCCCTCTTATTTTTTGCATTTTTAGCCCTTGTTGTACTTTTTATCAATCTTTCTATATTTTACAAGTATAGTCCCTGTCATTTTTTCTCTCTCTTCCAAAAAAAACATCTCCAATCTTTCAACGAGTATATCTCATAATCCGTAAAGAATTAGAGAACGTATTATGCATGAAAATTATAGTACTCGTCGAGATCTATTCAACAAGATCCATTTCGAATATTTTTTTTGAGTTTAAAAATGACTAAATTTTGATGGACAGAATAAGTTGGATATCCAGTAAGTTGGATAACCAGTATGCACGAGTTGGATAACCAGTATGAACAAATTGGATAACTAGTTCAAACAATTTGGATAACCATGTAAATCCATTGGATAACCAGCATTAGCGCATTGGATAATCCAATACAAACCAATAATTGGATAACCAATACAAACGAGTTGGATAACCAACTTAGTTTATTATTTTTTTAAAAAATAATAAAAACAAAAACCAGGTTGGATAAATAATACTAATTAGTTGGATAATTTGTCCATCAGAATTAAGTCATTTTTAAGCCCGGAAAAATGTTCACTGTGGATTTCGTTGGATAGATCTCAACGAGACTATAAATTCCATATATAATTCGTTCACAAATTCTTCACGGATTGGGAGATATGCTCGTTGAAAGATTAGAGTTGGATATGCATACAAACCAAATGGATGGATATCCAGTACAAATAAGTTGGATAACCAGTATGAACAGATTGGATATCCAGTACAAATAAGTTGGATAACCAGTATGAACAGATTGGATATCCAGTTTAAAAAGATGGATAACCAACTTATTTTACATTCATATTGTTGTGTTCCTTGTATCTTTTGATCCGTAAAGAATTATAACACGAATTATATATGAAATTTATAGTGCTCGACGAGTCTATCCGATAAGATCCATGTTGAATATTTTTTTAAACTTTAAATGCATTTAAACTTTACGGGCAGAAAATAAAGAAATGTGTTTTTCGTTTTTCTTTGAAAAATGGTTATCTAATCGGTTTGGAGTGATTATCCATTCTGTTCGTACTTGTTATCCAATCATATGTTTGACATTCACTCTTCAAAAAAAAAAAGATGGATATCCACCTCTATTCTATTCTGCCCGTCAGAATTAAGTCATTTTTAATCCCGAAAAAGTGTTCACTATGGATTTTGTTGGATAGATCTCGACGAGTACTATAAATTTCATATATAATTCGTTCACAAATTCTTCACGGATTGGGAGATATGCTCGTTGAAAGATTAGAGTTGGATATGCATACAAACCAAATGGATGGATATCCAGTACAAATAAGTTGGATAACCAGTATGAACAGATTGGATATCCAGTTTAAAAAGATGGATAACCAACTTATTTTACATTCATATTGTTGTGTTCCTTGTATCTTTTGATCCGTAAAGAATTATAACACGAATTATATAAGAAATTTTTAGTGCTCGACGAGATCTATCCGATAAGATCCATGTTGAATATGTTTTGGAACTTTAAATGCATTTAAAATTTACGGGCAGAAAATAAAGAAATGTGTTTTTCGTTTCTCTTTGAAAAATGGTTATCCAATCGGTTTGGAGTGATTATCCATTCTGTTCGTACTTGTTATCCAATCATATGTTTGACATTCACTCTTAAAAAAAAATGAATATCCACCTCTATTCTATTCTGTCCGTCAGAATTAAGTCATTTTTAAGCCCGAAAAAATGTTCACTGTGGATTTCGTTGGATAAATCTCGACGAGTACTATAAATTTCATATATAATTCATTCACAAATTCTTCACGGATTGGGAGATATGCTCGTTGAAAGATTAGAGTTGGATATGCATACAAACCAAATGGATTGATATCCAGTACAAACAAATTGGATAATCAGCATGAACACAGTGGATAACCAGTACAAATAATTTGGATAAGCATGTAAGTCCATTGGATAACCAGTATTAACGCATTAGATAATCAATATGAACACATTGGATATCCAGTTTAAGAAGATGGATAACCAACTTATTTTGAATTAAGAAGTTAGATAACCAAATGAATAAGCAGTAGAAACAAAATGAATAACCACTTCAAACCGATTGGATAATCAGCATGAACACGATGGATAACTAATTTAGAACAAGTTGGTTATCCATCTTGTAAAACTGGATATCCACCCCTATTCTGTCCATCAGAATTAAGCATTTTTAAGCCCAAAAAAAATATTCACTATGGATTTCGTTGGATAGATCTCGACGAGTACTATAAATTTCATATATAATTCGTTCACAAATTCTTCACGGATTGAGAGATATGCTCGTTGAAAGATTAGAGATTTTTTTTTGAAAGAGAGAGAAAAAAAAGGACAGGGACTAAACTTGCAAAATATTGAAAGATTGATAAAAAGTACAATAAGGACTACTCGTGCAAAAAAATAGGAGGGGTACACAGTGGCCCCGGGTATACTGGATACAGACTCAAATTTTCTTCCTATGTAAATTTCAAGAAAAAAATTAAAGTTAAAAAGCTACAACTTTCCTAAAACTTCTTAGATTCTTTCCTTTTTATTTATTAATTTTTTTTCTTAGTTTATTTTATTTGTTTACCCTCTTCATCAGCATTGGGAGAATCGACGTAAGCTTTATCCTCTCGAAGTGTTGTGCTATGTTGGCAAACCCCTCAGTACTGCTGAGATCATGGGTGCGATCAGAAAGCAACCACTTGTAATGTCGCTTCCCGCAAAGCTCAAACCCCCCCTTAGAGAAGGAAATGACGTCTTCTGTTTCCCAGATCTCGAGCCTCCTGTCCTGAAGTACCGCCACAATGCGGTGATCACTGGATACCTGACCGCGTTTGGTACTGTTTTCTTGGAATGTCAACAATCATATGGGGTCGATTTTGGAAACAAGGGAATTGCATATGTGCCGATTGATGCTGTTCATAAGCATTTGTTGATAACTCCGATGCTTAGGAAGCAAGATTCACCCTTCCTTCCAGGGAGAGAGATGACAAGTTTTAGGTACGAATTCACTAAAAACTTTTGTTTATAAACAAAATAATCCTAAACTTCTTGCAATCATTAATTTTAATCATGAATGAATGGAATTTTGCAGGAGGAGGAATGGAATTTTGCAAGAGGAGGAGGGTTTGGCGTTCTAGGCCTTGAAGAGTTTAGGATTCTTGGAATACTGATTGAAGTGAAGAAGAGAAAGAAATCTTCTAGATCTCATTGGTCATTCTTTCTCCAACGTGTTTTGGTTTACCGTTTCACTCATCTGTGATCAGAAAGTTTTGTACAACGTGTGATTTAGACGGAAAAAGTTATCCAAGGGATCTGTTAATTTTTTTTATTTTTTTATTTTTTGGTTTACAGGGTTATGTTAAATTAATTGGTTTAGTTAGACTTTGTTAGTTAATATATTCTTGAGTGTAATTTTCTAAACCATTGTTAGATACTCCTTCCGTCCCATAATTATTGTCCAGTTTTACTAAAATGAAAAATTTTATTTTTGGTCAAACTTAACTATATTTTACCTTAAATAACCGGATATACCCCTACATAAGTAATTGTTTAATCACTAAGATTTTACTATAGTAATTACGTTACAACAAGTTAAAGATTTGTTACATTGGAAAAATCCTCTAAAAGTTTTGTACTACTATCTATCTATATATATATATATATATATATTTTTTTTTTTTTTGCAGTCAAAAATATGTGTCATATATAAAGCGAAAGCAGAGATGGCGATAGGGTGAACGAGTTTCAATGTAAAGGCAAAACACAAGTAGCAGAATTCATCAGAATTTAAACGGGAGAAGCAGCACATGATGAATTAGTTTTGCTTTGAAGAAAAAGCAGGAAAAACGCAGAGGAGCTGGAAATGGGATTCACTCATTTAGGAAATTCTGCTAAAAAGTTAAGAAGTCATCGGCATATGGATGGTAGCCTTTCTGTGCAAATTAAGCACAAAAATGGCAAACTAGAAAAGTAATCAGAAAACCCCAGTACAGTTGGAAACAATGTACTTGTAGCTAGCCAGCTAACTAGTAGCCAAAGTGTCCTTTAATGAGAAAAGTGAAGTTAAAAGTAAACCAAACGTGAGGAGAGAGTAAAAGAACATCTTTAGAATTCTCTCTGTGTTACCGCCATGGAATCAGATTTGTTTGAGTTGTTGGACACACAAAAATATATACTCCTTCCTTCCGTCCTATAATTATTGTCCAGTTTGAGTTTTCATTTCTAATTCAAATTGTACTAAAACTGAAATCTCAAACTGGACAATAATTTTGGGACAGAGGGAGTATATGATTTTTTATTTTAGGATTAATTAGGAGAATAGCTGACGAACTTCGCCGTAATCTTCTCCTTAATTTTGTTGTTGAAGGAAAATCATATAATGGAACAGATTTAAGTAGAACATGTATTAGGTTTACGAGAGGGACCTGAAGGACGCAATCAAAGTGAAAAACAACAAAAGTTTACCGATGATTTGAATAAAATTTACTAACGAAAAAGCTATATATTTATTTTAATTTCTCTACTTCCTCTTGCTCGTTTGTGAAATATTTATACGAATTCAAAATTATTGTCTAGTTTAAGATTTCATTTTTAGTACAATTTAAAATAAAATTGAAAGTTTAATTTACACAATAATTTTAGGACCGAAAGAGTATTATCTTATATATAGGTCTATGTTGAACATCTAGTATTCTAGTAGTTCATTCCCATCTCAGATCTCATTGGTCATTCTTTCTCCAACGTGTTTTGGTTTACCGTTTCACTCATCTGTGATCAGAAAGTTTTGTACAACGTGTGATTTAGACGGAAAAAGTTATCCAAGGGATCTGTTAATTTTATTTATTTTTTGGTTTACAGGGATCTGTTAAATTAATTGGTTTAGTTAGACTTTGTTAGTTAATATATTCTTGAGTGTAATTTTCTAAACCATTGTTAGATACTCCCTCCGTCTCATAATTATTGTCTACTTTGCCCAAAAAATTTTGTCCCAAAATTATTATCCAATTTGACTTTTTATGGATCAAGTTACACATTTGTCCTTAGTATAAAATATTATCCATAAAATCTTAGTGATTAAACAATTACTTATGTAGGGGTATATCCGGTTATTTAAGGTAAAATATAATTAAATTTGACCAAAAATAAAATCTTTCATTTTAGTAAAACTGGACAATAATTATGAGACGGAGGGAGTATTAATTTAAAATTTGAGCATTTCCTTCTAAAGATAAAATTCCCGCAACAAACATTAGCAACGTATTGTGTTAATAAACAACAACAATATTAATAATGATGCTCCATACAGTGAGTTACAACAAAATCACTTAGTCGAAGAAAAAAACAGTTTCTAATGTAATAGTCTAGATGTAAACAATAAAGTGAAAAAAAATAAAGCTTATAGGTGAACTCCTTTTCAGTTTTCATCCAACAGCTGAAAAAATGTTTTGTGTCATACACAGAATTTGATGTTGGACCTTACATTTGCACGGCTATATATATTACTCTTTTCGTCCCAAAATTATTTTCCAGTTTCAATTTTTATTTTTAGTTTAAATTATATTAAAAGCGGAATTTCAATCTGGACAATAATTTTGGGATAGAAGGAATATAAAATAATGAGTGTTGTGAGCCCAATGTCTTTTTGTTGCGTCAAAATATATCCTATTATTAGATGGCTGCATAATCACAAACTTATTGATGTTCGCAAATTAAAATTGTCAAATAGTAATTGTAAACTGCACTTAAATGATTAGAAAATAGATAGTAAGAGAAAAATGTTGCAAATAAAAAAATTAAAAGGAAAAACAACATGTACAACTCGTGAACTCAATCAACTAAAAGTTTTCATAGCAGGAATGAATAAACTGTTTTTAAAAACACGTTACATGAAATCATTAAACAGAAGCTAAAATGAAAAACTAAAGCCCTAAATGAATAGGTAAAATGGGGTAATCTACAAACATTTCAATGATGCCTACTCTGGAAAAATAAAATCCTAATATCTTATCCAAGAAACGTCATAGATAATCAACATTGATTTTTTATTATTATTATTTTTTTTTTCAATTTTCATCAAATGAACAAAGTGAGAGAGAAGCATATGAGGGTACACATGTAAACTCACTTTCTGTCATTAAATTAATGCATTCTTAGAGGGACACTGTAGAATCACTATTCCTTTCAATATATGTTATACAAATATGATCACAATTATAACAACAAAATTAAAACACAAAATTAGATTTTCACATTTGAGTTGAAGGAGATGAATTGGTAGTTTAGTTACAATTTAAGAACATGGAGAGGAGACTTTTTTGGATTGATGAAGATTGACGACGTTGTTGCATTTTTATTTTATTTTTTTGGAACTTTTTCTTTTTCTTTTTTTGGATTTGGGTGAGGAAACATTTAAGGAAACATGGACACTGGATTTTTAGGGAGAAAAAAATTATAGATATATAGATTAGCTAGGGTTTAGGACCAGAGCCGTAGGCTATAAAGCTAATACTTCCAAAACAAAACAAAAAAAAAACAAAAAAGGTACTGAATATTCTTATTACAATCGATATATATATATATATGTATATATATTGTCCAACGATAAGCATTTCTATAGTGCAATTTTATTTTTATTTTATTATTTTGGTATGATGCAGTCGACATGATTAATTAAATTAAAAAAATAACGACGAATATTACAGATTAAATTATTTTCGAAACGTAAAAGGCTTTTATGAGTATAATATGAGTATCTAAGAGCTTTATGACTTACGAGTTATGAGTATCTAGAAACGATCACTACCCGATTGAATAAAGAAATGATGGTGACTTTCCAAAGTTGGGTCAAATATTTGAATTCACATTTTCATTTTATTCGTATTTTTTTTGACTTTTTTTTCCTTTATCATACTTCTTTCGGTTCTTTATATTAAGACATTTTTATTTGTCGTAAATTTCATTTGTTGAATTATTCTAATTGAAAATAAAATCTTGAAAAATATATTTTTACATTCATTGTGTTCTCTCAATTATTATAAAATATTTCTAAAGTTTTATTTCAATTGAAAAAATATAATAAATTAAATTTATGAGAAATTGAAACACCTACTAATAAAAACAGAAGGGCGTAGTTTAATTCCGGGAGTGACACCTGCTCCAGAATTAACATGGGTCATTTTACTCATTTTTAGATCCATCCCCATGAGAGGTGACGAGTCATAAATTAACCTTAAGCTTGGGCATGGGATTAGGTTACTTGGAGATTAAGCCACTGCCTAAACCTTTTCCGCTAGGGTTTCAGGAAACAGGTAATACCACCTCTATATAAAGAGGTGGTGTCTCTCTCGTAATACATATCTTCTACCTATCTTCTACACCTTCTACACACGATACACACACCTCTCTCTATTCTCTCTATCTCTTTATTGACTTAAGTATCGGAGAGTCTACCCTCGGGAGACATCCAAGGCTATGTCTTGCAGGTTTTAGGCTGTCCGCCACCGCCTAGGTCATCATCGCCGCCCGTCCTAAGCACCGTGCAGATTCCATGCTTCGTCAAGTGACACGCCCAGTGGGACCGATTTGTTTGGTCTTCACAACCAAATAAATTTCTTGAAGCGAAGTTGGAATTTGTTGGTGCTCTACGCTGCGCAACATCACCAGCACCATGCAGCACAAAGAAGAATTCAACCGAGAATTGATTTTGAAGCAAGGGGCAATTTCGAAGATTGGAGTCTTGAGAGATACATCTTCTCAAAGGAGCACGCATACCTCGAGCACCATTCTACTACTCGAAGTGTTCGAGAAGACGTATCTCGACTTTTATCTGCTCAACAACTACCTTCTTAGAATCGAGGTAACACTTTCTCGAATAATTAATTTATCACGAGATCGAGGTACATCTCAAACCTTTTCTAAATACGTTTCTCGAATCTACATTCATATATTACTAATATCATTACTCTCCTTTTGAGTGAAATTGCATATCGACGAAAGACCTGCACGACATGCAATAAAGGCTTCTCACCTTTAAATAAGAGAGAAAATGCTTCTCACCTTCAAATAAAAGACAAAAGACTTTTCACCTTCAAATAAGAAAGAAAAGGCGGAAAATGCTTCTCACTTTCAAATAAGATAA